AACTGCTAGCTGAGTGTAGAGGTGAAGTGGCAAGGCAAAAACTGAAGGGTCTAACATGGAATGGAGGAAGAATGGATATTAGTGGCTAGAGCTAGGGAAGCAACATAATTTTATGGGAGAGATAAAGCAGAAGCAGAGAATTATTTATGTAGTAGGCTGCAGGCTGGATACCCGAAGAGGGGAATGTAAGGGGGAAAAAAAAAAAAAGACTTGAAAATGATTAAATAGTTTTGGAAAGCAACAATAACAAAATACTTCCAAATCATCATTATATAGCTGGAAAATAATGAAAGTACAGTGAAAAACTAGGATTGAAGCTGCAAATTGCATTGGCACATTTACAACATCAATATTAGGAAATGTTCTTAAGATATTTCTTCCAAGGACACCTGGAAATGTACAGTTAATAGTAAAGGTCACAGGGCCCTTGTGAAACATAAATCAGGCTGGATTTCATTTATTTCTCCCTTCTTTAGTCCAGGAAAAGAGTAGCAGTAATATAAATGTTTAGATTTTCAGGAAGCTTTGACATATCTATGTGACTTTATAAATCCTAAATATCATTTAGTAAGAAGTTTTTAGGTAAGCAGTAAACTGAAAATTCAAAAACAATTTTTGTAGAACACTTCTCATATGCTTGCCATAGTGTTTATGTAGTGACTAGTTCTTTTAACCATGAGCCCTGCTCAAACACTTACAAGAGTTCCTAAATTTTGCTAATTCTGTACCTGGACCCATGACAACTTATACTTACCCCCTCTTTCAGAAGAGACTAAGAAGATCCAAGATGAGAAAACATGGTTTGGAGTCACAGTGAGCAGCCAGGCCCTGCAGCAAGCTGTAGGCAGCGTGTACTAACAAAGAACTTGATCCTAGAAGAATCAGAGTGCAAGGGGACAGCTCAGCTGCCTGCCCACAACAAAACAGGGAGGCAGTATCTGCTTTCAGTGACCTCTGAGGCAGACGGGCAGGTAATTGGACTGAGAAGTCAGCAGAAGATGCAGAGCAGCATAAGAAGCAGCTGTAGGATTGTCCAAATATTTCCAAGCTCAGATGTTATCATCCAGAAAATCACTGAAAGGTTATTTGTTTTGATATGCAAGTAACTTTAATTAACAAGGATGTCAACAGCTTTAAAAGATGTACAGCAACCTGCTAGTTACATCGGTAAAAGGTTTGAATTGCATGAGTGGATCCCTGCAGCAGCAGTGTTTCCAAAATCTTCGTTGGCTTCTCAAATTGTTGTATAGTTGAAACGCCTCTTCTTGTATGTGGAAGCTTCACAGAAGTGTCTTCAAAAGATGAAGGATAAGTACCAGATAGTTTGGCATGATTTTAGCAAGGCCAAACTGATATAGATAGATATCAAGCTGAATATTGTCTGCAATTTGACTGATGGGTAAGGAAGCACAGAGGAATGTGTGACTGAGAGCTCCTCCTATGTAGGTGAGTCTCATGGTCCAAAGCTTGACCGAGGCCCTAGTGATAGGACCTGCCTTCTGGAGTCACTTCCAGATTGGCGGTCCTTAGCAAACAAATACTCAAGCTGCCAACCCTCTCTCTGAGGAGAGAACATAATTGCCTTTATAAATGTTTCAAGTTACTTGTATTGTGCTCCAGAGTCTAGCTGGTATTTGATTTTATTCATAATAGTGGGTATTGTCCTCTTGGGAAGGTGCCATCCTGCCTTCAGTTCAACTTTTCCTTCTTGCTCAAAGGGCAGCTAGTCAGAGGGAAGGTTCCCTGTCCGTCCCTTCTCCCAATACCTTTGATTAGGACAAGAGTATTATGAGTATTGCAGTGCTTGCTGAGAGACCGAGACGACAGCTGAGATGCTTTTTGAGCAGCAATCCTTCCACTGTGTGAGGTCTCCTGTCCTCTGCCAATGATTATCCTGGGTACTCCCTTCCTCAAGTCTGTATCTTAAAAGTGCAAAAATTGAGCACTCTAAGTTGTTTAGAAATTACATTCTGAGGTTTAACACATCCTTCAGCATCTGAACAGTCTACAGAAGCCCAGATAAAATCGCTGCCTTGGGCTCATAACATCCATTGAAATGAAAATGTGCCACAAAGCGTTGCACAGTCTAGGGTGCCTTTTTGAGACCAGTCACATAGGGAGATGCTGGAAATCTGAGGTATGTTTTGGAGAGGGAAAAGAAAGGAGAATTTATTTTTTCTGTTCTTTAAAAAACAAACCAAAACCAAAAAGCAAACAAAAAACAGAAAGAAAGAGCACCATTCTAAACCTCACAACAAAACCTTTTTTAGCCTCTCAAGACTGAAAACACTCCAGGAATTGCATTAAGAAAGAGGATGAAAAAAAATATTGCAAAAACTGCTCAATTTTCTTTGGCTACGCAGTCAGCATTGTGGAGAGTCAGACTCTCGACGCTGTGACTAACCACTAGCCTAGCAGACCTGAGAATTGAAGAAGCACATGAGAGAAAATGTGTTGAGAACTTACCCACTTTCATTTCTTGGGCTTCCCTATGCCCAGAACAGGCAAGAACGGGAAAGGGTAAAGAACAAGGATGGAGGTCATATGACAGGCCCTGCTCTTACCTAAGAGTAAAGGGACTTGACAAAGGGAGAGCAAAGGGCAAAGAGACTTGACATTTTTGGCATGGAGGTGATTGAGGTACAGAAATGGGCAGGAAATTAGAAGGTAGATAGCAGAGCTGATGAAAAGGCAAATGTTGCTCAAGACTGTATCCAAATTCCTGCTTACCTTCTATCTCCATTCATTACCTCTTGGAAAACCTTGGGGCTTGTTAGTGCAAAGCTGGTTTCTGAAGAAGCTCTGTTGAGAGCAAATTGTTGCCTATAGGAAACCGAAGTTGCTTTGATTTCTTTCCTGTTCCTTGCAAGCCTAAAACTAATTCACCACAACACCAGAGAAATTCCTAACCCTCCTTCAGGTACTGATAGATCTGATTCAGGTGAGGTGGATAGATGGAAAGCTTCGTCTTGTGCTTTTTTTTCCCCCCTTAAATTAAGCTTGTATTTTTTTAATGATCTTCTTTCTTAAATCCATGAAATTGTTTTATCATCTATATTCCTCAGCCAAATACATTAGTTTTATTAGCAGAAGTATTTCTAAAATATGGATTTTAAAGAGTCCTCTATGCAGACATTGACGTGTCCAAGTCGCTTTGCTTGCCCGTTCAAGTTGGCTGGATGCACAAAAGCAGCACAGTATTAAAAATTAATGAGCGCATAGAACAGACATAAGAAACCTGACAAGTAACAATAGACCTCATCCGTTTAACATGCAATCTTCCTCCTCAAAAGTAGTAAGCGTGCCAAGCTCACAAGCCCCAGCTACACGCAAAACTCTGGTGGGTTATTTTGTTACACAGCACTGAAGCTGTAGTTTGACCAGCTTTTTCTTTTTTTAATTTAAAAAAAAAAAATACTGTATTGTGGCTGAAAGGAGGAGTCCCACACTCTCTCGTTGCTGGTTTCCTCTCTTGGTGCTGGTTTCTGCACCTGCCCTGCCTTGTCGCCCCCAACCTTTCTCTCTGGGCCACCTTCTACTGGGGCTATTCTTGTAGTGGGTCTATGGGTGAACCAACTAAGGAACTTGTGTGGGGAGCAGGGGGTGCTGATGAAGAAAAATCTTCCATGGACTGTTTTTCTGCTCACTTAGTCCCTTGATCTTGCTGGCCCCACGTGCTGCAAGGTTTCTAGTGCTACCTTGCACTTCAAGCCAGGAGAGGGATGCACAGCTCGGAAGCATTAAGGCAGGCATATGGCTGAAACGGGACCTTCTATCCCACTGCACCCCTGGGGCGAGTCCATGGTGATTCCTGTCCAGGTGGTAATGTTTAGTTGCAGTAAACATTACTTTTTCTTGCAGTATAAAATTAAAATTGGAAAATGAGTGTCACCTCCTGCATTGGATCTAGTAGTGAACCTTTTCTCTAACTTTCATCTCCAAAAAATCCAGCTTTCTTCCATGTTTTTACGTGTGAATTCAAATGGTATTTTTTTTTTTAACTCACATTTCCAATAAAGGGTTTCTTTAGCTGTGATAAACAGTCTCCCAGAAAAGGAGGAGGTATGTTGACAGTGTAAAACGTGAGTAGTTTGTATATGCCTACATTTTAATGCAGGTTTTGTTTTTAACCAGAGCATTGATGGGAGTCCTGAGTTGTATTTTTTTTCCTTTCCTCACCAACTTTTCTCAAGTAATCTCAAAAAATATTAAAGAATTTACCACAATGGTAATTCAGTGCTCTGAGAGGTGACTCCATGAATGGTTTGTTCGCCCTGAGGAGCTGCCAGGGGAATCCTGGTTTTGATGCTGATGTTCTGCAGCTGCTGTTGGACATCATGAACTAGGCCATACTGTGTCCAGGAACCTCCTTGCTTTGCAGTAAGGTTTGCAGTGTATGTGAATGCTTTTTGTCACCTAAATAGATAATCTGCTTTATGGTCTTAGCCCAGAACTAAACACTGACTGCCTCTAAAATCTTCCCTGTAGCTGCCAGGGCTCCTCATAACACGTTCTATGGAACAATAGCACCAACCACGTCAGCAGGGGAAAGAGAGGGCTCTGGCCAGAAAGAAGGTGAATTTCCTAGGTAGGGAGAGAACCTACCCATGAAAAGGGAATTTTAACAGAAAGCTTAGAGTAGGGAATTTTCTCTCTGGACAAGGAGGTTGCTTCATTTGCTTGTACTAAGAAGTTAAGAGCATCTGGACAAGGAGCTTGCTTCATTTGCTTGTACACAAAGAAGTTAAGAACATTTTTTTCCCCAACTTCTTAAGCTTTCTTGCACCATAAATTGTGAAGGAAGAGAAATGCATCTTTTTACCTTATGATACTATGTTTATAGAAAATCATCTCTGTGATAGAGACTACAAAAACCAGAGCAGGTATCAAATGATTTATCTTCCAGGATCCGGAACTTACGCTTGCTCAGTAATGGTTTTCAGCCTTGCGTTTCATGCGATTAGGAAGTGACCTTACCATTGTTTGCTTCTACCTTGTAGGTCAGACACAGGACTTCGGACCAGGTAATGGCTTTGAAGATGAACACACTGAATAGCAACAGAGCGAACATGCTGAAAGAGGTTCAGCTTATGAATAGGCTTTCACATCCAAACATCTTAAGGTATGCCATTTGATGGATTATATGGAGATAGGTTGCAATTAGCAGAGGTTTTTCTGTTGTTGTTGATATAGATGAAGAAAGGAGGGATTTGAGCAAATTGAAAATTTACGTGGTTTTGACATCTTCAATTTGTGATGAATAAATTTCTTAAGAGAAAAAAACTGTGTCAAAATTTTATGATGGTTCAATAAAATGATACAAAGAGTAAAATTTGTCTTATATTTATGAACTTAAATTATTGCAAATTTACTATCATTGAAATAATCAGTTGTTAAGAAGCCTACAAATTAGCATATTTATTTTCTTTTTTTTATTAATAGAAAAACAACAGTAATAAAGCTAAAAAGAGATTTTTTTGCCAACAGTAAAGGATATTGATTTATTATTTATGAATAGGCTCTATGTATTAAAGTGTTGAAGTAATCTATCCCTAATAAAATTCTCAGTCTGTTTTCTCTGCTCCAAGATGAGGTTAGTTTCTAGAAACTCCTCTTGTTCTTCCTCTTTTTTTTAATGATGTCAGATATTTGGCTTTCAGGTTCAATGACTTTTTCGTATATCTTCATATCACTTCCTTTCCCCTAGAATACTTAAATGTGCATATATGATCCTGGGGACTGATATAGCTATTTTTTCATAAGCTTTGTGGAAAGTATAACTTCATAGGTTTGACACTGCCAGAGTCTGGAAGCTGATGTATTTCAACAGTTTCTATATTAACTTTGTGGTTTGCACATATTTATTAAAATACATATGTATAACTCCAGCTCTGTTGAGAATAAAGCATTTAATTGGGATTGGGATGAGGGAAAGTGGGAAAGGAATAGTTTGAAAGTAAAAAGCATTCAGATGTAGCTTTATCTATCTGTCTCCCTTGAATGGTTACAGAGGGGCTGCTGTGTTCTTTTCTAAGTAACCCTGAATTTAGATTTGCCATCTTATGTACAAGAGATGATATCAATGATATACTGGTTCCCTCTGGCCTTAAAGTGTAGGAATAATTTGAAGTCAGTGGTGTTGCACAGATAGTGCTCAATAAAGAACAATAATGTATTCCTTTATGCACGAACAAGAAGAATTCCATTTGGTTTCCCAGTTCCTATGCATGATTTATAGAGAAATCTTTTTTCATTTTTCCCCTTGTGTGCTCCAATAATCAACTATGAATATATAAGAAATAGATTTCAAATAGAAAGGAATGTTTTTCCCATAACTTTCACTTGCTTTGGGAATTGATTTGAGATTTTTTTCAATGAGACTTTATTTACACTTAAACTAACTTTATTTTTCACTTAAGGTCACCTAAGGTAATGCTTTTAGTCCGTTTATGTTGTTTGGGACATATTATGTATGTATTATGTTATGTTGTTGTCTTTCGAATTATTTGCCTACAGGCATTTTGCTCTCTGCTTTTGTATTCACATATATACATATATATATATATATATCCACACATATATGTGTACATGCATACAGAAGCCTATAAATCATTGTTGCTAATGATAATGTCTTAAAATCGTGTTCACCACTTCAAAAATATATTTAATACTTAAAGCAAAAATAAATATTAAAGCAAATGCTTTTATAGTGGTGAGAGGTTAAAAACATGGCTTAAGAACAGATTAAGAGCAGTCAGGAGTAGCATTGCTGAGAGGTCACTAGGAAAATGTTCTATAAAGCATATTTCAAGTGAAACATTTTGGGAATTTTTAAGCTTGTCTTTCACTTTTTTACTGAGGAGATTGTGCTATCAGCAGCATCAAGTCTGTCTTTTTCATTGATTGGTCATTGGGCCTCTTCTACTTGTCTGGAACATGAATACTGATTTTATGTAATATTATGAGAGGTTCTTTGTCTTTGGTAAGCTCTGGGACTAGCTGCTGTTTATTTCCGCTGTAAACAGCGGCTTTTCTTTAGTGCTGATATGTGGCCTGCCAGGAAGGCTGCCTGTGGGTTCTTAGGGTGGATCTCAACTTCTCAGCCTGTGCAGTGGTTAATTGTAGCAGGCAGAGTGCTGGGAAGGTTTCTCTCCTATGAAATGGCTTCATAAAATTGTGAAACTGGAGCAATGCTGCTTTATGGGGTCCAAAATCCATTTCCAACTTATTTCCACATCTCCTGTTCTGTTAATTACTTAGTTAATATTGTACAACATAATTATTAGATTCAGCCATAATGTAGTATTTTAGTATACTAATATTGTTCTTCCTCTGGTTTGGGTATGGTTACATTTTTGAACATCCTTAGTGATGTTTTTCGTACCTATAATTTGTTACCCAACCAGTTCCTTTGTTCTAGAACTCTTCCCTGGTTTATGAGGAGTAAGTTATGTGGAAGAGAGATTATCTTCGTAATGTTGGTAGACAAGGATCATTATTATCTGTTGGATGACAAAACCAGAGCCAAAATCCAGTGCCCCAAAGTGCCTGGAGCAGCTTTTTTTAAGTTACTGATTCTGACTTGCCTACAGTTAAAGTTTTTATTACTATTTTTCTTTTGCTATTAATTTCTTTGATATTAAAAATTAATATTGTTGTTTATTTGAAACTACTTTTGCTTGTATGTTCTCCATATCAGATTATTTTCACAGTTAGAGATGTCTTTTCAGTTTTTTCTGCCAACCTACCACTACCTCCATCTTTGGATTCTGAGTTTGTCAGTACTTGCTGGCTTTCTTCTATGTCTTAGCTCCATAGGGTTTAAACTGAAGTAGGTCCTAGACACTTTGATACTTCTTTGGGAGATGGAGCTGTGCTAAGACTTCCAATATCTCTGCTTGTTGCACTTGGTGATCTATCAATCTAATTATTTAGTCTCTAAGAATAAGTTCTTGCTGAGTATGGAATGAAGGACTAGCTTGAGTCTTCTCTGTCTGTGGGGAGTACATATCCCCACTCTCACTTCAATGTTTCTGTGCTCAGATTCTGTTCTTGGGCAGTCGTGTAGACCATCTTAGAAGATAATGAAGAACTTAATGAAGCCTTCACAAGTGGAAACTAAGTCTGCTATCCCCACAAAGATTCTTATGGACAAATATCTACATAAAAGAACATTTTCCAGTGTATTTTCACCAAGAAAGTGAGACACTGTTCTCTACTAGTTGAGGGATTATTTCAGCAAGAATGGAACCTCTTTGTCAGGCTGTTAAGGATGGTTTAGAACAATGTAGGACTTGAGGTCTTGCAGCTGTATTGGCATGGTGGTAGAAAATATGAGGATTTAGGATTTGTCCCTTGCTTCCCTCCTTCCTACTTCCTATTACTATTAGCAGATGTGATTCTGTATGCCAGAACTTCGAGGAGAGAAGGAAAGAAAAAGATTAGAGACACTTGGGAAGTGGACAGGGCAAAAGGATAATAGTGTTCGAGTGCCTTTCTGTACTTCCACCATTACCCTGTCTCACATCAGCTCCTCCCATTTCTACCTCACCCCTAGTGATCTAGTACAAGGGCTACTAAGGGCCTAGTTAGTGTTTTCCAGCACTCCCCTGATCCTCTGAATGCTAATGTGCCCCATAGTTTTACCCAAAATGAAAGAAGAAAATAGGGCTGGAAAGGACTTGGGACCCCTATGTCTGGTAGCAGTTGGTCCAGACTAAGATCTGATGCCTTCTTGTTCTCGCCGTGTCCTACAGGTGTGTTTTCCTCATTTACACAAATGAAGGGCTGTGCTAAACCAGATACTTCAGTTCCAGGGCTGACTCTTGGAGTAGCGTATCTTCAATTTTGAGATAGAATTTCAGTCTTCAATATCACTACTGTTTGCATGAAAAATACTTCTCTATTTAATCCGTACCTTAGGGACTTCATTTAAAACATTCCGTACACAGAAAGCCTTAGCTCATGCCTTAAGTGCTGTCCGGGGAGTACTTGGAGATATTGCTGCGTGCTTGGCAGTGAGCGTGCAGGCAGATTGACTCATTGATTAAACCCACCTTCTGTGCACATAAGAAAAAAAATATATATAAAAGGCAGTGTGCATATTACATGAACTTCTTTCAAAGAGAGTTTTCTTTCATCTGCTTTCAGGCAAATGTAGCTCCCTAGGAATACAATAGCAATCTGTTTTCTTTTGTTTCAGCTTTCTCCTGCCATCCAGTCCTCATCCTTTGGTGAAATTACTTGCTTTTGTTACAACGGGCAAAATGGTGGCTTTTGTCTCTTAGCATCCTGTGTGTTGTGCTGAATAGTGGCTTAGTAGAAAAGAAAAATATTTTAGTTAGCTGTGTCTCTATGTGATCCAGTTACCAAAAAGGGTTGTTGCGGAAGAGAGAGGCTCTATGTGTTGTGCGTAGTATGTTACAGAGAGACTATATGAAATGCCTTACCTATGGACTACAGTATGTTTTTTGGATTAAAACGCAAACATAGAAAACTTAAAATACACATTTAATTTAGCACTGTGTCTAAAACATTAAATAAGTTTTTAATACAGATTTCATGTTCTTACCTCTTCCTTCTCCATTAATATTCGGTGCAATGGTATAAGCATCTGTCTTGACTTTGATTCTCTTTATGCTACTAAATGCATTTGAGACACTCATTTTGATTCATTTCTTATTTTTGATCTGTTACCACCATGTCCCTGAATTTTCTTTATATAGGCAGTAGATTTCAGGGAGTACTGATTTATTACGTTGCACTGTAGCTACCCTAGGTTTAGCCACAGAACAGGAATGTGTCCCAGTGAAGTTCTTGTAATGGGAAGCATGTGTTTGATGTCTGGATGACCCACAGTGGCTGTGTAATCTGGATATTGGTTTTGTCTGATTTATCAAGGAGGCTAAGACTGGGGACTGAGGCCAGAGTTGAGGTTCCCTCTTCCTGTCCAGAATTTTCTCCCCTATGGCCTGACACAATGGAAGGCACTTTGAGTAACTGCATGGAAGGAGCAACAACGTATTGAGCACTTTGCTTTGCTCTTGTGCAGGGGGGCAGGTACTGCAGATTGAGCAAAGAATAACTCAGCTGTCAGAAACAGGGCCTTTTGACATCTGAGCATTGCTGATATTTGTCAGAAAACATTTTGTGGTGGAAATCTTCGGCGTTATCCTAGTAGGGTAGACTCAAATAGCATCCTTCACATTTGCAGCTTCTGGAGAAACTTCTCCAACCACTAGTAATGGCTTTGGGAGTGATTCAGCTTTCCTGATAAGGCCAGATACTTCCTTAAGTCTCTTCGTGTCTCCTGTGTTGCTCATTGAAGCCTCTCCAACTAGAAATGCTTATAGGAAGCGTAACCCTTGGCTGACAAGACTTTGTGCTGGAGTTCACCTAGAAGCACATCTTGGCTCTGGAGACAGTGCGTCTGGCCAAGAGGAATAATCCTAAACACGTTGGAGCAGCGTGTCCGCTTCCTATGCACGGAACTGCAATCTCATCTGGGGCAAGCTTCGAAATGGAATCGTTGTGCCAAATCTCACTTGGTAATTGTATTTCCTGGTAGCAGCTGTATATTATTTTTTAGTGAAAACACTTTCCAATATTACTTTCTAGCAGCACTTGGCTTTACCTGCAAGTTGCTTATTGCTTGATACAGCAGCTAGGAAGTTTTCCAGGAACCTGGGTCACTAGAGATGTACTCTACAAATCTATTTTCCAGAGTTTGAAAACTGAGATTCTTGACACAATATTTAAATGGTTTCAGCATGTTACTTGTAACTCATTAATACCGTCTTTATCAGTGTATCTGGTTTCTCTTTCCCAGGGTAATAACTTCTAAATTCGTGGGTTTTACAAATATATTTTTAGGCCCTTTTTTTTTTTTTTTTTAAAGAGATCACAATACTGAGTTTTGTTTTAATTTCTTGTTTAAAGTTAGAAATATATGGCTATTTTACAATAAAAAAACTAGATGTTTAAGAATTTTAAACTCTCACTTGGGGAAACTTGAGTCTGTGTGTCTTTTTTGCCTTAAGTGCAGCTTCGTGAGGTTAATAAATATGTTTCCATTGAGACTTACTTCGAACATAACAAGCTGGCAGAAAAAGTTTATTCTACCAATGTTTTGGTGACAGTGATGTCTTTCCTCTTAATTTCTGGATGAGGGGAAAGTCATCTGGGACTTGCATTTTGATCAGTCAGGTCTATAATATAATTCCCCCCTCAATCGAAAATTTCTGCTGTCCGAGTGCAGTTTGGCTTGTAACAAGCTACGTAAGGAAGGTTTGCCCTAATTCAGGTGTTTGTTAGCTGTGTTGACAAAGTTTTGTCTACGTACCAAGCACTGCTTCCTAAACTGATTGTAATGTAATATACCTTTACTAGAGGAAGTGTGATATATAGAGGAAAGCAATATTGTATATATATTAGCCTTAGTTTTTAGTTGAATAAAAATATTGTAGTATTGGCTTTGTATTGTATCATTAGTAGGTTTCATAGGTGAAAATAACATTTTCAGGACTTTAAAATTTCTGTAGCAGTGGAACTGGAAACAATAGTTTTAAAAGAAAGGATATCTTTTTTTTTAACACCATTCTTTAGAGATTGTCAAAATGCAAAAAAAAAAAAAAAGGGGGGGGGGGGGGGAGGGTGCATTTCAGCTTTGGAGGAGTGGCCTTTACTTAGTTTTAGGAGGCTTAATTTGCAAACTTGTTTACAAAATTATTCAAATGCAATTGCTCTACAGAATGAAACTCGGAAGCAACATGTTCTGTGCAGGTGGCACAAATGAAAATAACCTTTTTCTCCCCAAGAAACACTTCATAGTGCTCCCTTGTTCTGCACTGAACTACAGGAATTGTAGTTGCACCATCTCTTCCATGAAGATGAATGTACATGACTGGGAGAATATGAATTATTTGAGGTGAGAGCAGGCAACAGAGTTAAAGTACAAGTCCTGCTTCTTTTTTGGTTATTTGAAAGACAAAAAAATCCACAGCTCAGCTTATGCAAATGACCTTACCTATATTACTTTGCTTGGACTGCTTGTAATTTACCAGTCAGCTGTTAGCGAAGAGAACAGTGAGGATCATTCATTGCTTCAAAAGCAGCTTAGCTTAACTAGTACTACATGTCCCTGGCATAATTTTGTTGTTAAATTCAGAAGTGCTTGAAAATAAAAAGGTTCTTTCCTTCAAAAGGATCTCTGCAAGATTCATCCGTCACATTTAGTGAAATCAAACATTTCTACCCCTTGTTTGCAAATTGGAAATTTCTGGACATTGTGGAAATGACGGACATGTTTTTGTCAATTGAGGCTAAAATCTCAGTGATATAATGAAAAAGAGTTAACCTAAAAATAACCAATGCTTTAAATGTGCAGTGAGGAGCTCCAAAGGCTCTGTGTTATCTATCGATTAAGTTTTATTGGACTTTTTCATGGGAGATGTTTACTTTTAATATTAATTGACATTTTGTCACATAGGAGTTCAGCTTGTGTGGTAGAGATGAGCCTTCAATTGTTCTCTTATTAGATATATTGTGCTTTTTTTGTCATTATGCAGCAAATAAAGGGTGGCAGTCATTATTAACAGTGATTTAATAGTCAATATTAACAACAGGAATCTGAGCGTCATGCAGTGTAGATAACTTCTGTGGAATCTGTGTATATAGGATGCTCTAAAAATTTGCTTCAATCTAAATGTCAAAAATGTTGATGTGGGGAAGGGAAGGATGTATGCTACACGTAAATACCCTCCTATCCCTGAGTGGTTAGGAATGGGACAAGAAGAAATATCTTTACACTTAGTAAACAGAATGCAGGAGGGAAGGAATTTGCTATTTATGCAAACATGCAAACCAACACTGGATTATTTGTTTAGATATCTTGGACCGGAGAAAACTCTCAGAATATCCCCTTCTATATAAATAATTATATGCTGGCACTGGCTTATAATGAAATTAGTAACTCCCTCTTCAATTTGAGTTGTCTCCTGTGCTCTTTAACTGCTAATTCAAAGTGTTCTGTCATGTATGGACAGGATTGTTTTCTGCTGAGATTTTTAAAATAATGAAGCTTGAAGTATGCAGACTCTCTGAGTCTAGGTGGTGGTTCTTTTCTTCGGACAGCCAGTACTTTTTATTATCCTACAATTTCATTATTTGAAAAAAAGAGGAGGGAGGAAAAAAAGGAGGGGGGAAAAAAGCCCAAACCACTTTTCTTGTTTCTTGCAGGTTTATGGGTGTCTGTGTGCATCAAGGACAGCTGCATGCACTTACTGAGGTAAGACTATTTATTTATATATATTTATTTATATATATATATATATATAGATATGCTCAATATGAAGCTGTTAGGTTTCTGTTTTTTTTTTTTTTTTTTTTTTGACTAATCACCTCATCACAAGCATTTCTATTTTTCTGCAATAGAAAGATTGAAGAATCAGGCCTCAGAATTGTACTTCAGTCATAGTCTTTGTACTTCTTTTCTTCTTATAAGCGCTTATTAGGATGAAAAAATCATAGTAAGAGCCTAAAATTCTCACATTCCAAGATTACCATTTAGCTGCTCCTAATTGATATTCTTTCAGTGACATTGCACTGTATTTAAATCTTATTTATTTACCTTACCTTTATAGTCTGGGTGCATGTACATCTCACAGATCAATCAAGAATGGTTTGGTTGAGTGATATTAGTGTATTCAATCCCTACTACCTCATTTTTTAGGATATTACCAAGATTAAAGCTTAATCGGGGTTCCAGAAAGAAATTATTGCACTGACCCTACGCCCTGGCTAGGATCTAGGTAGCAAGAGAGAAACTAGGCTCTCAGCTCATGTGAGTCTTGCACTAAGTTTCACTGGATTGTGTGTTTAATCCATTCTAAACCCCTCATGAGAGGGGGAAGAAAAAAAAAACACACAAGAAAAGTGTTTCTTCATTAATAGTCTTACCTGTTTTGAGTCAAAATCAATAAATCGTTCATCCTGCTTTTTCAGTTTGAGTGCAGGTTGAGGGGAAACCCCTTTGTTCTGTAAAATTAAAATATTTCTGACAATTTCTATCTCATAGAACCACACAATTAAAATATTAGCCCTTCTCCCCTATATCCTTCAGAAGAAAAGAAACAAAAAAAAAACCCTCCAAGTGGGTAGCATATATTTTACTAATTAGCAATTAAAACAGCTTCCTGGCATGCATGCCAATAACTATTACATAATAAGAAGATTTGATATAGACCAAGTGTTTAATTTTCAAGATACTGTCGCCATTTTCTTCTATAACTTTCATATGCAACCCTGAGACTTAGGTGTGCACACATGGCGGTGAATTTCTTTGCTTTTTGGGCAGACAGTTCTACATTTGCAATTCTAGCTGGTGTTAGAACATACAGGTTCATTCACAGTGGCTGTTATTTCTATTGTAAGAGGAAAAGCAACAAATGAAATATCAACATGCGACGTGTGTGTGTGCGTGTAAAGAGATGCTGGATACGAGAGGGATAGTTTGTTTGTTCTGGTTCCCTCTACTCTTTTCTCCAGTGCTCAGTAGAGGAAATGTTTGGAAGATTTGGCAAAAAGCAACAAATGAAATATCAACATGCTACGTGTGTGTGTGTAAAGAGATGCTGTATACGAGAGGGATAGTTTGTTTGCTCTGGTTCCCCCTACTCTTTTCTCCAGCACTCAGTAGGGGAAATGTTTGGAAGATTTGGTGTATGTGGCAGAATGAGTCCTTCGGCAGGCCTTTGCTATCAGTGCCTTTTTTTATTTCTTGTCTTTTGGTTCAATGATCAATTAAAACAAAGAGGTTAAAGGCCTTCTTAGTCCCTAAAGGTGTCCTAGAAGAGATGAAGCTTCAAAATGTTTCAGTTTACAAATCTTGGCATATCTTCCTCATCGTGTGCTGTTTTCTTCCTACTTGCTTGCCATTTAAACATCCCTCCCCACCCAGAAACCCAAGAAACTGAAACTTTATCCCAGATACTTCCTCACAGAGAAGTAACTTTGCTGGCTGCTTTCTTCAGCTGGTTTTGAGTTCTTGGCAAGCAAAATAAATCTATGAAGGACTTCAAAGACTAACTTCTCATAGTTCAGAATTACACAAGATATTCCAGAAATCTTGAGACCAAAGAGAAATTTTACACTAAAGAAAGTCACTGCAAACTTTTAAGAAACAGAATGGCTTAGGGGCATGTTATAAAAGTGCATGTCGTCTTTACGATTTTCTCGTATGGACCAAGATGAACATCTAATGCCTTCAACAGGGAGAACAACTACCGCTTAGGTCTATCATACCTAGCTTTTGTAGGGAATCCACGCACTGTTTTGTATAATGTAGTAGCTGTTCTTTGTTTTTACAGAGCTTTTAAATGTTAAGAGCTGCTTATGTTCCGGGGGCTCCACACAAACAGCACTGCTGGGCCTCCTGCCAGGCTCTCACTTGTTAGAGAACCAACTGGATTGTTTCAAGGGCCGATTGCTCAACAGGTTTCTGAGTCACTACAAGGAGAGACCTTCCTTGGTCTGGCCTCCGCTGGACCTGTTTGGAGAGGTGTCTAATTATTACTTGTTGACATGGACTGTGCATAGTAAGAAAATAAGTTCTGCTTAGACTGAGAACAGTTGATGATATTGCTAAGCAAAGACATTCAAGATGACTTAACTAAGGGCTGGAGGCGTGAGGGTAAATCATGTTATTTGTATGTATATGTTTCCATGGCATAAGAAAAAGGCAGTTAGAAGCGTTGCAGATTTTTTTTTCTTACCTATTTAAACATGTGGGAGGCTCAAACATGCAGAGCAGGTTTTTCGCTTGAAGAAGATGTTGCTAGTTTGCAGGCCTTGTTTTTTTTTCCTTTTTGGCAGCATTTTATGTTTTAGTTGCTCCCTAAGTGGCTTTTGTTTTTAGTCAAGAAGCAGTTTCTGTTTGTTTTGGTTTGGTTTTGTTTTTTAAAAAAGAAGAATGGAATTTTTAATTAAGTTGTACCAGGACTTTGGCCATGTTCTGAATCCACAGTTTGAAAGTCCAGAATTGTTTTTGAAGTTCTTCTCTTATGAGAAGCTATGACAATATGACTTCTACACTGCTTCAGTATCTATCCTGAGAGTCACAAATGGTTTAGGCTGGAAGGGATCTCTGTCCTTGTGAGCATGCAGCTAAGAAACATTTAGGGGAAGTGAAGTACATGTTCTAATAGGTGCACAGCTCAGATGACTTCGTGGGCTTTAGGCCACCCTACCAGTGCTGGGCTGATGGGCGCAGATTTGCTGTGCTCACCTCCTGTAAAACCAGGAACTGTGTGCTCCTCCCTTGGTGTTGAGCTCTGATCCGCAGGTTGTGGTTTGATCCTGTAGCTACGTGAGTCTGCAGTGCGTCCTGATGAGCTTGTATGCCTCTCCAGCCTGCTTCCCGTCTCTCCACAAATCTCCCTGTAATTTCTGACCACCTTCCTACCAGCTCTCCGTTAGCTTCCATTTCTCAATCTCATTGCACGCAGAATCCTTGAACTTGGAGCAGCTTGCCCAGAATAGAGTCTCTGGTGTCAATTAGATATTTCATGAGCTGCTGCTGAGCATTCAGAGACCAGAAATGAGCTGCTACCAGACAGGATACGCTCCAGGCGACAGAGCTGCAAACCAGTTACCTTGGAGCAGCCAGCGCTTAATAGAGATAGTGTGTGGTCTTAACTGTGCACCTCTACTGTGGAATGGGTGCATGGGCAAGAACCCAGGCAAACAAATTCCTTTGTGGGTTGCAAGTTGAGTAGAGCAGTGCTATTACACTGAAGCACATAACTCGGCATATAGTCTAACGTTTAACAGCCACTTAATACCTTTTTGCCAATTTTAAAATATTTGTTGGACTCTGCTAAACTGCTTTATGCAAATTTCTGAGAGAGGTCAGGCTTAAATCTTGGTATAATTAGATGTATTTGCACAGAGCGAGTCCTATATCTTGCTAATTCCTTTTTGAAGAAAATGGAAGCCTTTATAGCCTTGTGTATAGCAGATGAGTAGGGATAGTTATTAGGTGTTGACTGTGATACTTGGAAATTGCAATGCTTCGTGAACAACAGCTAATTGTTACCGTGGAAGTTTTACAGATAGTAATCTTAGTGGGTGATAGCTAAAAAAGTGCACAACTACTCAGCCCCCGTCTGAAGCTGTAGTTGTACCAGGGCTCCGTGTGGGATCTGACAAGGGTTGGAGCTTCCTCAGGCTGAGGAACATGGCCACAGCAGTGGTAGGAACATGTGGCCAGTGATGGGGACATGGGCAGCGCTGTTTCTGCCAGCAACTGGATCTGCACTTTCTGCCTACCCTGCATCTCCAGCAATCTTTCCAGCATTTCTTCCTCTTACTGTACTAACCGGTCAGTCCCTCTGATCCCATCCCATCTTGTGTGGTATTTAGGTATTCCACGAATCCAAGAATTCCCTGGGGCAGCCTTGGTTTCAAAGAGCTGTGTAGGTGGCACTTAACCAAATGTGAGATGACTGTGAGGGGCAAGGCAGCCATTCCGCACCTGGCTCCTGCAGTGGCTTTCCTGCAGACTGGGAATGCTACCCCGCATCCAGGCAGTGCTCCCTGTCAGCTCCTTCACCTCCTGCACTATAGGGTGCTGAAGCCCTGTCCAGGTGTCGGGAGGAATGGTGAAGCCTGCAGTGTTTCCTGTAGTCTGCTGCTGTTTGCAACACCCGCTGGAAACCCGTACAGCCGAGTGTTGCTACAGACATACATGCCCAGAAGGGCTACAAGAAAAGTGTCTCCATGCTATTTTGACTTTTGTAAAGAGAATTCGTTGGAATCCTATGACCTCATGCACAGTTTCAGGTCAATTATTACTAGTAGTATTTTTTTATAGCTGTCATAAACACCAGGAAAAAAGTTTACTATGGAAACCCTTTCAGACATGTTAATTTTCATCTCAGGCAAGAGAATTGCTATTGGACAGTTCTGACATACCGCACTGGAATGACTGACTGAATTTAACACTGCTCTTTCTACCACTAGCCACAATTTATTGTTTTGGGAAAAGAATGCTGTTAATATACCAGTTTGGAGAAGAAAACTTCCCTTCCCCCCTGCCCTCTTAAAACTCACCTTGATGAAAGGCTCTATGACTTATGGAGAGTCCAGCATTTCTGTGATGACTGAAAAAAATCCCTCTCTGCTTTTCATCCCAACAGCACTAATTTAGGTAAACTATAAGTGCAATTATGGAATTTCAGGCCTTTATTTATAGGCCTTTTTCTCTTGGATTTAATAACTGGGAATAAA